GAGTACAAAGGACAGGCCTAGGAAGCAGCCTTTTCACACTTTTTTTCTTACCTTCCTGCAGGTGATTCCATGCTCCTGAAGTCTGAGAAACACACACTTAGCTGGTGATCCTCAGCCTGGCTGTACATTGTGTTTTTAACTCACCTGGGGAGTTTTTTGGATCTGTGTGTATGCGTGTATGTTTAAAAGTACAGGCTCCACTTGCAGAATCTGATTCACACAGTTGGGGGTAGGGCCTGGGCATCAACATTTCTAAAAGATCCCTTTGTGATTCCAATATCCTGTCAAGATTGAGAGTCCCAGGGCTAGGAGGGTTCTCTCTAAACTGAATATAAAAATGGAAATCCATCAGCCCCCACGTAGTTACCATTAAACTCACAGCCTCAGAGGACTGAGCTCACCTGCTAGCCACAAACATCTGGTGTTCCCTCCACACCACTGATGGGGGCCCCATCAGTGCAAGCAGCTTGACCTGTGCCCTTTGGGGAGCGTACAACAGAGGTTGAAGAGAGGTCACTTCCCTTAAAAGCATGGAGACACGGGGGGGGAAAATGCACACAAGAACACATGCAAGTTTTGTACAATCGGAGTTTTATAGACCAGGAAACAGACACTCTGGAAGGGGAAATGACTGCCCAGTGGGTTCATAGCAGAGCCAGGACTCTTACCCAGAATGTTTTTCCCCGACTTGGCTCATTTTTTCGTGGGCCTCGGGGCACCCTCTGCACTTCCTGCACATCTGTTGGTTGGGCCTGGGCCTGGAGCCAACCATCTTCACCAGCAGCAGCAGCCACCTTTCAAGGCCAACACTGGGCCAGGCCTTGGGCTATTTGTTGAATGACTGAAGGCAGCCAGCCCAGCACTTGTCCGCTGACCAGCATTAAAACCAGGGAATTAAATAACTTTGAAAATAAATTCTTTAGATCTGGAGTAGTTCTTTTTTTTTTTTTTTAACAGTCTCAGGAGTCTCTAGGTCTCCCTTATTGTAGAGTCCTTGCCTTGCCTCATAGTAACCACATAATTCACTCAAATTCTATTTTCCATATAATTTATATGTAACTCTGAGTACTTGAATTGCAGTTGACTGGTTGACCTAAAGTTATATAGATATTTAATTTTATATTTGTAAACATCAATGTTTATAGATTTTATTTGTTGGAGCCAATCCATTTATTTTCAGGTTCTCAAATATTTTCTATAGCCTATTAGAATGTTCACTAGCTGTGGCATGTCTCCTAATGTCTAACAGATCACAAATGACCTTAACATAAAGGGATTTGCTTTTCATTGATCACCTGGGGACAAGAGAAAGAGATTTGGAGGACATGGTCGAGGAGATTTGGAAAAACATGGTTGTTTTCAGGGACCAGAGACTAATTTAACTTTTGGGGGGTAAAAACTTTATTGAGATGTCATTCACACCTGTACAATTCACCCATTTAAACTGAACAATTCAATGGTTTTTGGTTTATTCATAGTTGTGCAACCATTACCACAATCAATTTTAGAACATTTTCATCACTCCAAAAAGAAACTGGTGCCTGTATCTGCCAGTCTCCACTTGCCCCTCCAACCCCCTCCCAACTCTAGACAGCCACTAATTTACTTTCTCTCTCTATAGATTTGCCTATACTGGACATTTCATATCAATGGAATCATACAATATGTGGCTTTGTGTCTGGCTTCTTTCACTTAACACATGTTTTCAAGACTCATCCATGCTGTGGCGTGTATGAGGACTTCAATCCTTTTGATTACCAAACAATTTGCATTGCATAGGTATACCACATTTTATTTACCCATTTATCATTTGCTAGACATTTGGGTTTTTCCACTTTTTGGCCATTATCATTAATGCTACAATGAACATTTGTGTACAAGTTCATGAAGATGTATGCTTTTATTTCTCTTGGGTATATACCTAGCGGTGGAATTTCTGGGTCCTCTGGTAACCCTATGTTTAACACTTTGAGGAACTTTCAGACTGTTTTTGAAAGCAGTGATGCATTTTACATTCCCACCAGCAGTGCATGAGTTTTCACCTTTTCTTGTCTTTTTGATTATAGCCATCCAAATGAGTTTGAAAGTACACTGTGGTTTTGATTTGCATTTCCTTGATGGTTGATGATATTGAGTATCTTCTCATGTACTTGTTGGCCATTTGTACATTTTCTTCTTATTTATTTATTTATTTATATTGATTTTAGAGAGAGAGAGAGTGGAAGGGGCAGGGAGGAAGCATTGATTTGTTGTTTCACTTGTTAATGCATTCCTTGGTTGCTTCTTGTATGTGCCCTGACTGGAGATCCAACCCACAGCCTTGGTGTATCGGGATGGTGCTCTAACCAACTAAGCTACCTGGCCTGGGCTGTATATTTACTTTGGAGAAATGTCTATTCAGATTCTCTGTCCATTTTAATCAAGTTATTTGACATTTTATTATTGCATTATAAGAGTTTCTTATATATTCTAGATACAAGTCCATTATCAGCTACATGATTTGCAAACATATCCTCCCATTCTGTAGGTCATTGTATTTGCTTGCAAAGACTGCTGTAAGCAAGTACCACAGATGGGGTGCCTTAAACAACAGAAATTTATTTCTCGCAGTTCTGGAGGCTAGAAGTCCAAGATCAAGGTGTCTGCAGATTTGGTTTCTCCTGAGGCCTTTCTCCTCCAGCTTGCAGATGGCCACATTTTCCCTGTGTTTCCACCAGGTCTTTTCTCTGTGTGTGCATCCCTGATGTCTCTTTCTGCTTATATGGACACTAGTCATATTGGATTAGGGTCCCATCTCAAGGGCCTTATCTTAATTTAGTCACCTCTTTAAAGACCTTTCAATACAGTTACATTCTGAGGTACTGGGACATCAAGATGTGAATTTTGGAGGACACGCAATTCAGCTCAAAAGTTATCTTTTCACTTTTATTGATGGCGTCCCTTAAAGCACAAAAGTTTTTTATTTTAATGAAGCCCTACTTATATAGTTTTTCCTTTGTTGCTTGTGATTCAGGTGCTATAGCTAAGAAACCATTACTTCCTCCAAGGTCATTAGGTAAGCCTATGTTTTCTTCTGAGAGTTCTGCAGTTTCAGTTCTTACATTTCAGTCTGATCCATTTTGAGTTTATTTTTTGTATATGGTGTGAGGTAAGGGGTCCAACTTCATTCTTTTGCATGTGGGAATCTAGTTGTTTCAGCCAGCACCATTTGTTGAAAAGACTATTCTTTTTCCATTAAATTGTTTTGTCATTCTTATTGAAAATCAATTGGTTGTAAATGTAAGAGTTTGTGTCTGGACTCTCAGTTTTATTCCATTGATCCGTATGTCTATCTTTATAAGTGCATCCCACGGTCTTGGTTATCATCGTAAGTTTGGAAACCAGGAAGTGTGAATCTTCCACCTTTTTCTGAACGTACTTGAACTTCTGGTGTCAAACCTTGTGAATGGTGTCAATGGCCAGCACAGCACGGGCACCTGGGCGCATCCTCAAGGCTTCATTTTGGGAACGCAGACTCCAAGTCCTTCTGCCTCAGACAGATGAATTCCCACCCGCTCAGCCCACGGCTCTTCATGACAAATCAATGGAAATATTCTGTGGAGAACCATGGTCCCCTCGAATTACAGTCAACATCATTCTATTTCCTCCCCACTGGCTCTGCTCTCTAATTGCTCTTATTGAAGCAGTGGCATTCACAGCTGGATTATTAATGAACTGGGAATGAGCCAGGAGTTGAGTGGTGGTGGTGGGGGGTGTCTTTCGGAGGCCTTGGTAGGGGCAGAGGTTTTCCCTTCCCCCTGAAATGTTACTGAGTTTCCTTAGCAAGCAGAACATCACTGAACTCAGGTTATGCTGTCAGCCCTAGGAGAACACTGCTGGTGAGTAATGACCTCGAGGATTTCTTCACACAAGTCTGCTGGAAATCGAATTAACTGGGTCCCACCCCCAAGCCCACCAAACTCAAACCTTGTCTGCACCCGGCTGGCTGGCCCTAGAGCTCTGATCTGGAGGCTGAGAAAGCTCAGGAAACAAGGCCCTTTGTGGAGAAGAGAACTCCATTGTTCGACAGCCAGTGTTCAGGGAGTGTAGATTCCAGAGAATGTTTTGCGCTGGATTTTCCCCCTTTGTTAACTTTCTCTCCTCTTCCTATGGGGGGAGGGAGGGAAGTAGGGCCCTCTCAACATCAGCCTTTAGGTAGTTAAATCGCTGGTCTTGCAAAGAAAAGATGGTGCTCAGAGCTCTCAGCCCAGGAAAGAGGCTTAAATTCGATGAGAGAAGACACCGGCGCTCGCCTTTTTAAAAAAACATCCCCCCCCCGCATTTTTAGCCTTAAATCTCAGGGAGGCAGCCCCTTTCTAGATCGTGGCAGACGTCAGCGGAGGTATGACCACTTCCTTCCTCCTTCGCTTCACCTCCTTTCTTCCCAGAAAGGGGAAATAATGCGAGTCCACGTCGCAGGCCACAGCCCCCGCGTACCCCTGCCTCGCTTCTGCTCTCTGCCCTGCAGCTGGGGCACCTGCCCCGACAGACCTGTCCCAGGGCAAGAGCTGGCCGGTCTCATTGTCGGCCTATGAAGCCTTCAGATTCGAGCTGCTCAGGCCCTCAAGGAAGGAGACGTGAATTCCTGGCGCGGTATTAATTCTGTGTGGCCTTGGGCAGGTTAGTGCCCCTCTCTGGGCTTCCTGGTGGTGTCCTTCTGTCGAAAGGGAGCCAGGATACCGTCCTGGGCTTCCTTTTGCACGGTGGTGGTGGTGGCGGGAAAGAGGGACGACTATAAGGAAAACTATTCCGAAGCCTGGACGCGTCCCACCTTTCTTCAATTTCCAGCTGCTCAAAGGAGGAGCCCCATCCTTAGAGCGCTGAGACCCTTAGCGCGCTCCCCCGCCAGGGGGACCGGCCGAGCGCGCCCACCCGCATCCCCGGAGCTCAGGCCCCGCCTTGGGGGAGGAGCCAAGGGGCGGTGCGGAGGCTCGGGGCCGAGGAGCGCCCGCTTCAGTCGCCTCAACAGCAGCCGCGGCTCGGGGGCAGACGGACAGAGCCGGGGCCGGGAGCCGCCCGGGCAGGGCTCGGGAGAGAGGGTGAGTTCCGCGGCGGCGCCGCCTCCCTGCTGCGCTCTGCGGCTTGACCGGGCGGGCGGGGGATGAGGACGGGGCCGGGGAGGTGGTCCTGGCCTCTGACAGCCTGGCTGGGGGTGTGTGGGGCGCTTTGGCCACGGGCCGTCTGCTTAAGATAATTGGAGGGAGGGGACAGTGGAAAGGCAGGTACGGGTAGCGTAGGTCCGTCCGGGAAGGCGGACTGGGGTTGGGCGTTCTCCCCGGGCTTGCGCGCCAACAACGAGGCCGGAGGTGGGGGCGGGGGGCGCATTGGCAGGTTGTTGGCTGGGGTCGCCGTGACCCAGTCTTGGGTCAGGCAGGGAGATTTCGGTTGGTTCTGGACTCTCGGGTCGCTGTCTGCTGGGGGGCTCCATAACGGGAATCGGGAGCTACAGCGTGCACCAAAGAGCCCCGGCGCCCAACCTCGGGGCCAGGAATGGGGGTGCCGCCCCCTCGCGTGGCGGCGTTTGGTGTCCGCAGGCAGCGGCCAGGCTCAGGGAGCGCTCCTGCTCTGGCGGGAAAGGTCCCCAGGGGCAGGTGACCGCAAGTGCCGACCCATCCAGCCGCGGGATCCCACTGACATAGATCGCCGGCCCCGGGGAGACGCCGCGCGTGGTTGTGCCCAGGGAGAGGTGCGCCCGGCCTCTCCAAAGGGCTGCCGTGCGCCAGCTGCTGGGTCCCCCGAGCCCGGAGCGCTCCTCTCTTCCCGAGTCCCGCGCTTCGACTCCGGCCGGATTAGCGCCCCCGAGCGCCTAGGATGGGTTGACACTGCAGCCCGCCCCAGAGAGGTCGCTCCGGGGGTCTCCCCAAGGTCACCCGGAGCGCCCAGGCTGAGCTGCCCGACTGCCCTAAGTGGAGAGCAAGGAGGGGGAGGCGCTCGCTGCCGCCTCCTTCCCTGATGCAGACTCCTTCCTTCTCTCCTCCTCCTCCACCAGCCCGGGCCCGGCTGCCCTGGAGATGCTGATGATGCAGCTCCCAGCCCCGGGTGTATAACTGAGCCTCGGCGAGCTTTGAATCTGGCCCTCCCGGGAGCCTGGGACCAGGCGCTCCCGGGCACCTCGGGCGCCAAGGGAGAGACGCGGCTGAAAAGCGCTTCTCAAAACCGAAAGCCGAGCTGCTTGCGCGCCCATGTGATTAAATTCCACATAATGGGCCCCTGTTCTCGCTGTCAGAAAAGCCCACCAGCTCCCCGCGGCCGCGGGCACCAGGTGCTGCTTCTGAATCGCCCTCTGTGGAGGACCGGGGCCCTGCGGTACCAGGCGCCCGTTCCCCCAGGGCTCTCTCGGGAAGGGCCCTGTCGTTCGCCGCCTGAGCCCGAGGGGGTACTTGCCCTTGTGCCCTGCCATTTCCTGCGGCTGGCGCAGTACCGAGAACACCCCTCCATCTGGGAGGACTCCTCCTAGGCTGGTTATAAAGCTTTTTAGCTCCGTCGGTGACTAGCTCCATCTGCCCCAGGACTAGGCACTTGGCCTCCGGGAGCCTCAGTTGCGTCTAGGAAATGGGGCTAAGAAGCAGCCCCGTCTGGGGGATGGGTGAGAGGACCCGAGGAGAGCTTGGTGCAGCAGAGCGTGGCAGGATGAGTGCTCCTCAGTAAATGCTGGTGCCTTTCATGCTGGTTTTGAGTGGGGCCTTTTCTCTTCTTTAGGGCAGGAGCAGAAGTGGAGCCCTGGTGGGTGGTTCTGCAGGGGCGGGGGGAGTTCCCACACCTCCTTCCCTGGCTGTGTCATAAAGAGCCAGCTTGCAGTCGGCTGGTGGGCGCTGGTGAATCCTTTCAGCTGGCAACCTGCTCAGGGCCTTCCCCCACAAATCCCCAGTGAGAGGTCAGCCAGGCCACTCTGGATGTTCAACTTTGCACTTGCTGTCCGCTGGAGTCCACCCAACAGTGCCCTCCACCCTGGAACCTTCCTGACTCCTCTCCTGGTCCCAACTCTTTCCAGCCTCTGGAATATCTTCCTACAGGAAGACCACTTGATCCTTCCTACTCTCTTTCGATTTCCCCCACTGTGACATCCATCTTCTGTGGCTCATGGGTCGGGCTCCTGCATCCTGGTGCCCTCTGGATCTGCCCCGGCAGGGAAGGGCAGGCAGGCAAGGCCAATGCATACTCAGACTCCATCTCTCGGGTGATTGACGCTGGAGTAGGGGTTAAATTCTAACCTAGCTAAGTCTGTTTGGGAGCCTAAGCCACAGGGCTAAGAGGTTGTCGATGTAGGAAGGTGGGTTTCTCCCCAAGGCCAGACCTTTCTGCGGAGCTCATTAGGATGCTTGGGGAACTAGAGCCCCAGGTTCCTCTCAAAACATGCCCCATCATCCAGAGTGAGCTTTCTCTGACCCCCAGAGGCAGGAGCCAGCCTGGGTTTGCCGGTCGAAGAAGGCACATGCGTGGATTCATGTGCTGTGTTTGGATCCTCAGGATCCCCACCCAACCTTGCCCTCCTCCCGCAACTTAGCCACCATCCCCTCCCCCTCCCCCTGCCACCCCACACGGAGGACTTGGAGCATTTGGTGTGTAGTGGGTCCCAACTGGCATCCTTCCAGTAGAGACCAGGAGACCTTCTTTATCCCCAGCTCATCTTAGAGACTGGGCTTCAAGCAGGGCCCGGATGAGCCTGACTCCTACAGAAAGCTAGAAAATATGAAGAGCAAGTGACCTGACAGGTCTAGTTCCAATTATAGCTTTGTGCTTAACAGCTCTGTGACCCTGGGTAAATTATTTACTCTCTCTGAGTCCTGGCTTTCTCATCTGTAAAGTGGGAGTGATAGTAATGCTGACTTCATGGGATTTTGAAGATTCCGTGAGACCCTAAAGCACAGAAAGCGCTTAGTACAGCACCTGGCATGGGCAGGAACACAGGAAGCGATACTTGTCACTGTCACCACCATTTCCTCCCTTGCAGTGAGCTCCCACCACCTCTGGTCTGGTGGAGTCAGACCTCTTCTGCCTCTAGCTACCAGGACAGGTGAAGCCTCTCAGCCTGGGGGCCTGCCTCTTGGGAGTTTGAGTCTAGCATGGGCCTGTCCCTAGGATGTCTGTGACTAAGCCTTTCTCCCTTGGCTGCAATTGTTTTCCAGGATTCATTGATTTATCCAATAGGTGTTTATTTTATTTTAGACCTTATGCTTAGCAAGGGATTTCAAGATGAAGAAGATAATTCTAAGGGTTCTTTTTCTACAGGGGAGAGGGAGAGGCAGGCCTGGAAACAGATTGTGAGGCTACTGTCCCCAACAGATAGCAAGGGATACCAGTTTCACTGGCAGGAAAAGGAGTGAAGAATAAAGTGATGTATGAACAGGTGGGCTCAGGCCAGCCAACAGGTTTCATTCCAGACTATGCTACCTTGTGGCTGGGTGGCGATGGACAGATGCCTTACCTCTCAAGCATATTAGCTACCTACGTAGGGTGTTGATGTGAGGAGACAAGTGAGACCATGTGGGTGAGAAATTTAGCTCAGGGCCCTCTAGATATTCATCCATGATTGCAAATGTTAGTTGCTGTTATTATTAGTCTGTGATGACCAATAACAGGTGGGCAAATTTTGCTGTGGGAACCCATCAGAGCCCTTCAAAGACAATTTTCCAGGTGGTGGGTAATAGAGGGGTAGGCAGCCTGAGCAGAGAGAACAGCTTGTGCAAAGGCACGGAGGCTTGGTGCCTCTGAGAGCCGTGGGGAGTGCAGCTGGAGCGCCGTCACCACAGGGTATATGGAGGCAGGGGCAGCAGGCAAAGCCAGGGAGGCAGGCAGAGGCCATCCTGCCAAGGGATCCTGAATTACTGAACACTCGCTGACGCGAAGGAGGTGCCCTGCAGGCTGTGGAGAGTTGTCTGGTTGTAGCACCTGAGAAAGTCTAGGTTTGACTTCTGCCTGGGAGGAAAGGCTGGGCTGTGCTAATTGCCAATACATTAACTGTCCCTTCCTCGTCTTTCTACCTGGGAAGCAGAGAGGTCCCCTCCTACCTGAGATGCTTCCTGAGATGCTCTCTGAGATGAGATACTTCTGTACCAGTTTCTTTCTTCCTGGGACTCAGTTTCTCAAATTTGAAGGAAGAGGATGGAGGCAGAGAAAGTGTCGTGATCTGGCCCCTTTAATATTGTACCAAGTGTTTTTCTGGGCGGTGGGTATTGTCCAAAGTCTTTGCTTGCATTGCTATTGAATCCTCACACCAACTCATGGAAGTGGATGTATTTATCCCCATTGCACAGAGGGGTAAACCAAGGCACGAGGGATGAGGTGATTTGCAAAAGGCATGCAGCTTACATGTGGTGGCAATTCATGTCTGGGGGTTTCCAAAGTTGTTACGTGCTAGCCTATACCACCTCACTTACGCTTCTTGTAAATACCTAAAGCTGACTGCAGAATGTCTGGCTTTTTTCACGGTGTTCCCTTGGATGCTGGACAGTAGGCACTTTGGAGATGAGTCACAACGGGGCATGCTCTGGTTATCTGGGTACTTCCCCATTCTCTCCCAGCCCTGAATTTTGAGAAGGCCCTGTGTGCAGGCACTTGGCGAGGGGGAGGTGTTCTTGGCCGCCTGAGTTCAGGTTGCATTCTTCCGCTCGCTAGTGTCCCACCAAGTTGCCTTGATGTAGTCAGTTTGCAGCTTGATTGATTTAGCAGGTGGTGGCTGAGTTCCACAATGACCCCAGGAAGGAATACGGGTCTTTGAGGATGGCTGGTCAGAGCATCTCATGACCACAAACCCTACCTGTTTACAGAAGACAAAGGCTCAGATTTCCTTTTCCGTGGGAGGCAGAGTTATTTAAGGCCAGGGTTCAAATTCTGACTCTGTCTTCCACTGGCTTTTTGGCCTTGGACAATTTCCATTTCCTTGAGCCTCAATTTCTTTATCTGGAATACAGATAATTATATATATACATACATATATATATATATACACACACACACACACACACACACACACACATATATCAGAGTTGTCATAAGGATTTATAATTACACACACACAAAAATGCCTGGTTTCCAAGTT